AATGACCCTTCTGAATTACAAGTGTCCGATGAGGGAACAACTGCTGAATTATCTGTCTCGGGGGATAAACACCACCCATCTGTCTGCCCGCTGCTGGAATCTGTCTACCTAGTGATAGACGTACTGACCGTCCAGGAACGTAGTGATCGAATTAGTTGCCTCCAGAGCCCTATGATAGATGTATTTGTAGCGTACTGTATGTGGCCAGTTGTCAATTCTCTTTGTATGGGCACACAAACGTACGTACATGTAGATATCTCACACTCAGGAATGAGGTAGGATAGAAACTCACAATGCGCTTTCTGTATATATATTGTTGTACAGCGCAGTGCTTAGGAGTGACTAGGTGAGGAGTAACTTGCTCAGAGGTCCTGTAGGGCGAGGAGGTTTCTGAGGAAGCTGGGTGGTGTGGAGCTGTGAGAGATGTTGCTGGTCCAGTAGCCGAGTGTAGAATGGTCTCCCGATCGATCGATCGATGGGTGAAGTAAAGTATGAAGAAATCTTGATGCACGTGCTTAGATTGGTGGTGCGGGAACTGGACTTGAAGAATAATGGTAGAATTTGGAGGGACTTGGGGTTGGTGGATAGTGCAGAAGAAAAGCGAGGAAATTGGAAAATAGTAGTAGAATGTTAGGTCTTGGGGCTCAACCCAAGTGTTTCTGTTTTCTCATGTTTGTGTTTCAGCTAATTTTCGTCTTAGGTATTATATTTATGTCAGGTGTTTGTATGTTTAGCAAATATTGCAATTTTATGCCTTACATTTTCGGGTCTTATGTCCTAGGCAATGGTGAGGAGTCTAGGGTAGGTACTTGTGTTTCTGCTAAGAACATCCCGTCTTTTTATGATCTAATGTTGTAAGTGGTAGGGCTGCCAAGGTTGTCACTGGGGTAACGTTGCACCTTTCAATAGAGTGGAGTTGGTGTGGGTTCTCGGGCTCTTCTTTTACTGCGAGGGAACCACGAGTGTTCTCTTCGTCCGTCTCTTCCATCCATTCTTTGATTGGTCCTGCCTCTATTTCTTCTAACTTTGTCCATATTCTTTTTGAGTGTTGGTGTAGGTAAATGTTTAGAGGTTCTATTTGCGCTCGTTGGTGTAGTTGACGGTTGGTGACTATGTCAGGATATCTGATGTTGTATACATCCCTTAGGGCTAAGTTTTGAATTGTCTGCAGTTTCTTTAGGTTTGTTTGTTTTATTGCATGTAGGGAAATTGGTGGATATACTAGTCGGGATTGGACAAAGGCTCTATATAACTTTAACTTGTTTTTTGCTGACAGGCTTCTGACGCGTTTTAATTTAATTCCCATGTTTCTGGTTTTTGCAAGTTTTTCGGTGATGAATGTTTTGTAGCCTTTTGTTGTTATCTTCAGCCCTAGGACAGTGCCTTCCATGGCATATGGAATCACTTTGTTGTCTACTATAATGGGGTCTTTTTTCCTTTTAGCGATTGGGATTATTTTGAACTTGTTGGTGTTCGTTTGTATCTTCCACTTTTTTTCGTACTGGTTGATGTTCTCTATTGCGTTGGCAGTATGTTGTGCCATTATTGCTGTTGATTTGCCGGGGTATGTGATGATTTGTGTGATATCGTCTGCAAAACTTATGTATTCACTGTAGGGAGCTGGTTCTGGTAGGTCTGCTGTGTAGATATTGTACAGCGTGGGTGAAAGGACACTGCCTTGGGGTACTCCACTTTTCAGTTTTATGGGTGGTCCTATATAGCTGCCAATTTGTATTTGTGCCGTGCGGTCGTCTAGGAAATCGCAGACGATTTTTTCTATTGGTTCTGGAAGATTTAATTGAAGCAGTTTAAATTTTAATCCTAGGTGCCATACTTTATCGAACGCTTTCTTAACGTCTCTTAATACACTGTTGACTTGGTTTCTTTCTGCTTTCTTGTTGGCTAACGTTTCCGTGATTATGGCTAGTGCAGTATGTGTTCCCTTTTTTCAGTGAATCCATGTTGTCTGGAGTTTAGTAGTCCGTTTTCGCTCCTGTGTTTTCTGATTCTCTTGTTTATTGCCTTTTCAAATAGTTTTCCTATAACTTCGAGTAGGGAAATCGGTCTGTAGTTAATTACTTGGGTGTGGTCTTTGGCTGGTTTCGGTATGAATATGAGTTTTGCGTTTTTAAATGCATCAATGAAGTATCCACTTGCCAAAGCTGAGTTAAATATTTCAAGGATGCCTTGTGTGCAGTTATTGGGTAGGTATAGGATCATATTTCTTGTGATTTTTGTAAATCCTGGTGCTTTTCCTTTAGTGTGCCTGATGTAGTGTAGCAGTTCTCCTTCTGTAGTTGGTTCTATCGGGTTGAGCCTGGTTTTGTCCACCACATGGTATGGGGTTATCCTATGTATTATTACAGCCATTTCTCTGCAGATGTGATTTTCGTGTTCCTCATCAAATTCCTCATTTTCTTCTTCTGATATTTAAAATACTTTTTTCCATTCTCTTCTGTATGCTGATTCTATCTTTTTCTTCAAAGAATTTTTTCCCGTTTTGGTCCTTTATGTATTTTTGTTGGGGTTTGTCGTTTCCTAGCATTTTGTTTACGTTCTGCCAGAAGTTCTTGTCATTTCTTGTGGTATCCAGGTTGTTTATTAGTTCGTTCCATATCTGTTGGTGTGCTACCAGGCTTTCATCTCTTAACTTTTGTTGTATTTGCCTTAAGTTTCTAATAAGCTCTGTTGTTGGTGGATAGTTTTGTATGTAGCCTACATCATTATGTTATTTTATTGTACTTGGAGCATTCGCAATTCATGGGATGTCCTGATATGTGGTAGCGTTCGATATGTTGTGATTGGTATGTTGTTCTCTATTGCCTTTTTGATGTTACGTATAAGGGTATCTGTTTCGTTGTCAATATCTTCTAGTGTTTTGCCTTGGAGATCTGGGATCTTAACTTGTTCTAGTTGCTTCCTGTAGCCTTCCCAGTCTGCTTTTTGCATTTGGAAACGTGGGGTTGTTGGTACTTGGATTGGGCTTGTGGATAGTTTTATTATCATTGGAGTGTGGTCACTGGTAGTTAGTGGTCCTTGTTTTATATGGTAATTCAGGAATGCCTTGTTATTGGTGAAGACTTTGTCTGGAGTTGTTGTTTTGTTATTGCCAATAAATGTGGTGAAGTGTGGTCCTAGGTGGATCAGCTTCCCTGTGTTCATTATGGTATGCAGTGAAGTGCCCACCCTGTTCCTGTTTCCGTGACCGAATATTGGATGTCTTGGGTTCAGATCTCCTATTATATATGTTGGGCAGTTGTAGTTCAATAGTTTTATCAAGTCTGGGGCCGGCAGGTAGTTCCGTCTTGGCGGTAAATATGCTGTGGCTATTGCTATTTCTCCTAGTGTGGTAGTTATTTTGAATCCCAGGAATTCATCCTGGAATTCGTCGATGATTTGATGTTTCAGTATGTGTTTTACAGCAATGGCCACGCCATCATTTAATTCTTCTGTTTTATTTCTTTGGTAGGTTGTATATCCAAATATTTTTATTTTCTTGGAATTTGAATTGCCGTGACTATTTATTAAAATTATGTCTTGATCAATGCTGAGGTATGTGTTTGCAAGGTTGTTTTTATTTGTTTCCCAGTTGCGGACGTTGTGTTGTATGATGGTAAGTCTTCTGGGTTTTTCTTTATTCATTGTGTTTTGATTTTTTGTTTCTTGTTTGTTGCGCGGGTGGCGATCTCTTGTCCGGAACCAGTTCATTACGGATTCTTTGGAATTTCCATTGTTCTTCTTTTTTGAAGTAGTGTCTCCTTATTTTAATCCTTTGGTTTATCAGGTAAGCTTCCACTAGTGCTTCAGAGTATTTATCGTTAGAGTAGGTCCATTTTAGTTCTTGTTTCGTTATGGCTTGTATAATGTCTGGCATCGTTTTGCATTCATTGGGGGTAAATATTTTGTCACACCAGTGAAGCTGTAGTTCACAGTCGTCTGCACATTCTAAAGTCAGGAGCGTTTCCTCGCCCTGGGTATCCATGGTTGCTGTTGAGACTTTTTTCCTTACGGCTCCTGTCTCTCTTTGGATGTTATTTTGAAGGTCCTGCCTCTCTACTGTACTTTGGGTGGATGTTTCAATCATTTGTGACTTTGCCTTGTCAGCTTCGTTTGTTTCGTGTACTGTTGCGGCTGGTGTTTGCTCCGTTGCTCCTTTTTCTTCTGCGTTGACTGTCTCCTGTGGTGCATCTGGGTTGGTTAAGCGGGACTCTTGTAGCACAGATCCGGAAGCTGGGTTGGCTGGGAAACTCAGTGTTGGGAGATTGTTTCTTCCAATCATTTTGTTCATTTCTATTTCGAACGTGCCTGGGTTCCCTATGTTCATTATGTGAGAGTATAATAGGCAGATGAGCACTTTGTAGTCTCGTATTTCGCTCAGTACAATTTTGGTGGTATTCTGTGGTTGTGTTGTTTCTTCAACTACTTTCTTTGCAATAGCAGCATATGTTGTATTCTCCTTCTGTTCTTGTTGTTGTTTTTCCTTTGCTACTTTTTCATTTATTATTTTCTTTTTGTATGGACAGGCCATTGCTAGGGTTCTGTGGGTCTTATATCCTGGTTCCTTCCGATTTTTACAGTTTATACATGCTTTGGGTTGATTCTTGCAGTCCCGGAAGGTATGGCCTTCTTCTGCACATTCAGAGCATATTTTAAGTTCCTTTTGAGGACAGTCTTTTGTTGCATGAGATTCATGTGCATAGCAGATAAAGCAGGTGAGAATATTAACATATTTCTCCCTTTCTAGTTGTTTAGGGAGTACTGACATGTTGAACCCTAAGATTCCAGATTCCAGGGCCTTGTCTGCCATTGAAGTGTCAGTGAATCTCAGCTTTAGGCAATGAGTGTATTGCTTTATTTTTACCACTTCTTCGATTTTTAACCAGTTGTTTTTTTATTTCTAGTTCTTCTTTTATTTCTTGTGCCGAGTGCTTTCCAAATTCGTAGTCAAGTCCACGTACAAATACTGATCTTTTTGCTTTAACCTCTGGTGGCATAATGACCTGGAGTCCTATGTCTCCAAAGGCTTGCATTCCCTCAGGGCTCAGAATGGTATCTGCATCCCCGTAGTCCCTGCATATTGCAGTGTATCCATCGTTCGAGGAGAAAATCCTTGTGAAGGGTACATTGAGTGTACCATACGCTGTTTCAGTTATCTGATAACGTGAAGGGGCTGTTCTCTTGTCTATAATCTTGAGTCTATCCTTGGTAGCCATTGGTTTATTTGTTTGTGTCTTCCTAGCATATAATAATTGTGGGTGATAAAGAAGGTTATTGAAGACCCTTCTTAGTGTGCCTATAGGCGACCCCCGGACAGTGGTGTAACTGCACTACCACTGTTTTTCCACTGCCGGATTGGCCTGTGTTCCCCGACCTCCAACGGACACACACAATCCCACCTACTGTGAGGTGTGCTCCACTGGAGGGGCTCTAGCACGAATACTTAACTATAAGCAGGTGCCTCGGCCAGGGTAAGTAAGAAAGGATTTCAGCAAGAGAGAAAGACCTCAAACCACGTCAGTACCGCCAGTCAATAGCGGCCCTCCAGCAGGAGTGTGGGTCACTCACTCTACCCGTGGGGAGGGCTAACTAGGGTTGACAGTCCTGAACGCTCGTGAGGTAGTCCGGTGGCAGTCGTGGTCGTTTCCAAAGGCGGAGGCCCCCAAGGGGCATTGCCCCAAAAAAGATTTCTGGGAAGGCCAGTGGTAGACAGAGAGGTCGAGTTGTAGTCAGGTCGTCAACAGTAGAAAGAAGGCTGGCTGCTTTGGCGGTGAAGGATCAGAAGAGAGGTCCAAGGTCTCCCTGGAACATGAAATGCTAGTGACAGGGGGGAAGGAGGTTCAGGGGAAGAATAAAGGGAGGATTGAAGTGAATTTTAGGAGGAGAGAATAGGTGCAGTGGCTAAACACCGCTTGCGTGAGGGAGTATAAAATGGAGGCAGCAGCAACTCGCCCGGACGCGGCCAGGAGGCGGCAGGACAGAGTCAGGCTAGCGTCAGGTCAAGCGTCAGGTGCGTGTTGGGTTGGGCCATGGATTCTCAGTGCTTGGTCGGCTTGATTGTGTGTGTTGTTTTCTTGTGTAGAGGGAAATGTCTTGGTCTTCTGTCTTGGTATTCTTCTTAGCTTGATGTAGATTTTCTTCTAACTCTCCTCCTCTTCTTGCTCTCTTGAAGTGTCCATTCATTCGTGTTTGGGTCTTGTTGTTCGTCTTCCTCGTGTTTTAAGTCCTCATAGGTGTGGAAGAAGTCGGAGACGGTGAGGTTGACCACGTGGGCTTCAGCTCCACGGGCCTCGTGGTGTTCTTGATTCTGTATGGCGGGTGTCTTTTCTTGTTTTTTCTTTTCTGCTGGTTTTTTCTTGTCTTGGGAGCGTACAGCAAGGAGGGCCTTTTTGTAGCTCAGTTTCTTGTCGAGTCGCGCCTTGGGGTACTTGTAAGCCCGGACCTACGGCCTAGAAAACAGTGCGTTAATGTTCGAAATGAGGCAAACAGAGTATTGGGTTTTATATCTAGAAGTGTAAGTAACAAGAGTGCAGAGGTCTTATTGCAACTATATCTTGCGCTAGTTAGGCCGCACCTCGATTATGCGGTTCAGCTCTGGTGCCCCTATTATAGAATGGATATAAATTCACTAGAGTCGGTGCAGCGAAGAATGACAAAAATGATTCCGGGACTTAGAAACCTTCCATATCAGGATAGGTTAAAGAAACTTAACTTGCATTTCCTAGAAAGACGAAGAGTGCGGGGAGATATGATAGAAGTATTTAAGTGGGTGAAAGGAATCAATAAAGGGGATATAGATAAAGTTCTTATAATATCCGAGCAGGATAGGACTCGGAGCAACGGATTCAAGTTGGATAAGTTTAGGTTTAGGAGGGAGATAGGAAGAAACTGGTTCACAAATAGGGTGGTGGGCGAGTGGAACAAGCTTAGCAACTTTGTAGTAAGTGCTGGAACTCTGGAAAGTTTCAAAAGGAGGCTAGATAGATTCATGGATGATAGAGAGTGGTAGTAACTCTCGACAGGAGCTGCCATGCACAGGCCAACCGGCCTATTGCAGACTCCTTATTTTCTTATGTTCTTATGTTCCATTTCGGGCAGGTCCGATCGGCGGAGGCAGGCAGCGCATTTTTTTACTGTGTTGGGGCAGACCGTGTAGCGGTGTCCGGGGCTGCTACACAGGGAGCAGGTTTCCTCCTGCGCTTCACACTTGTTGACAGTGTGTCCGTAGTGCTGGCATTTGTAACAGCGTTTCGGTCTGCAGTAGGGCTTGACTGGCACAGTTACCCACGCCAGTTGAGCCTCCTTGGGTAAGGTTGTATGGTGTCCGATGAGGGCAGTGGTGTCGGACAGCTTCTTCACAACTTGGAGTTGCCCCTTGAGGAGCTCACTCAGCTCTGCTGGTTGGTTGGTTATACAGAGAGAAGAGAGCAGTAGCTCTGAGAGTGGAAGAAGGGTATAGTACAAGGTAAAGTTCAGAAGTGGGAAGTAGAGGAGAAGGTTAACAGCAGGTGGGCTATCCACCTTGCGGAGACGGGTTTTTTTGTCTTCCGTAACAGTGCTGCCTTAGTGGTTCATGGGGTTAGGGAAGGCCGGTCTCAGCCAAGCTAAGCTAAGTTATTCTAAGTTGTCCTTGGGGCATATTATCTTAGGGGGGGGGGTCCCTCCAGGTCCTTGTGGCACTGGAGGGATGATCCCCATCTTTTTTTTTTGTGAACTATTTAGGTCTTTGTTTATTTGTGGGGTCCCTCCAGGTCCTTGTGTGACTGGAGAGTTGTGCCCATCTTTTGGTTCTTATTTGTTGTTATTTTTTATTGTTATTTTATTGTTATTGTGTATATAGAGGCTCTGGTTCTTCATTATCATTTTTCCTGCTTCTAGGCCACCATCTGTGTGATGTGTTGTTGTTTTCTTCGATTAGTTTGTTTAGTATGGGATCCTGTTCTTGCTGGATTTTTTCCCATATTGCATTTGCTTGAGTGTGTATTCTGGTGTTGAGTGGGTCTATGCCGTGTTCTGTGTGTTGAGTGGGTCTATGCCGTGTTCTGGTGTTGAGTGGGTCTATGCCGTGTTTGGTGTGGGGGATCGTGTTCTGGTGTTGAGTGGTCTATGCGTTTCTGGTGTTGAGGGTCTATGCGTGTTCTGGTGTTGAGTGGGTCTATGCCGTGTTCTGGTGTTGAGGGTCTATGCCGTGTTCTGGTGTTGAGTGGGTCTATGCCGTGTTCTGGTGTTGAGTGGGTCTATGCCGTGTTCTTCTGGTGTTGAGTGGGTCTATACCGTCTTCTGTGTTGAGTGGGTCTATACCGTCTCTGGTGTTGGTGGGTCTATACCGTCTTCTGGTGTTGAGTGGGTCTATACCGTCTTCTGGTGTTGAGTGGTCTATAACCGTCTTCTGGTGTTGAGTGGGTCTATACCGTCTTCTGGTGTTGAGTGGGTCTATACCGTCTTCTGGTGTTGAGTGGGTCTATACCGTCTTCTGGTGTTGAGGGTCTATACCGTCTTCTGGTGTTGAGTGGGTCTATACTGTCTTCTGGTGTTGAGTGGGTCTATACCGTCTTCTGGTGTTGAGTGGGTCTATACCGTCTTCTGGTGTTGAGTGGGTCTATGCTGTCTTGGTGTTGAGTGGGTCTATACCGTGTTCTGGTGTTGAGTGGGTCTATACCGTCTTCTGGTGTTGGTGGGTCTATACCGTCTTCTGGTGTTGAGTGGGTCTATACCGTCTTCTGGTGTTGAGGGTCGATACCGTCTTCTGGTGTTGAGTGGGTCTATACCGTCTTCTGGTGTTGAGTGGGTCTATACCGTCTTCTGGTGTTGAGTGGGTCTATACCGTCTTCTGGTGTTGAGTGGGTCTATACCGTCTTCTGGTGTTGAGTGGGTCTATGCCGTGTTCTGGTGTTGAGTGGGTCTATGCCGTGTTCTGGTGTTGATGGGTCTATACCGTCTTCTGGTGTTGAGTGGGTCTATACCGTCTTCTGGTGTTGAGGGTCTATACCGTCTTCTGGTGTTGAGTGGGTCTATACCGTCTTCTGGTGTTGAGGGTCTATACCGTCTTCTGGTGTTGAGTGGGTCTATACCGTCTTCTGGTGTTGAGTGGGTCTATACCGTCTTGGTGTTGAGTGGGTCTATACCGTCTTCTGGTGTTGAGGGTCACTGTCTTCTGGTGTTGAGTGGGTCTATACCGTCTTCTGGTGTTGAGTGGGTCTATACCGTCTTCTGGTGTTGAGTGGGTCTATACTGTCCTGGTGTTGAGTGGGTCTATACCGTCTTCTGGTGTTGAGGGTCTATACCGTCTTCTGGTGTTGAGTGGGTCTATACCGTCTTCTGGTGTTGAGTGGGTCTATACCGTCTTCTGGTGTTGAGTGGGTCTATACCTCTGGTGTTGGGGTCTATGCGTGTTCTGGTGTTGAGTGGGTCTATGCCGTGTTCTGGTGTTGAGTGGGTCTATACCGTCTTCTGGTGTTGGGGTCTCGTCTTCTGGTGTTGAGTGGTTCATACCGTCTTCTGGTGTTGAGTGGGTCTATACCGTCTTCTGGTGTTGAGTGGTCTATACCGTGTTCTGGTGTTGAGTGGGTCTATACCGTCTTCTGGTGTTGAGGGTCTATGCTGTCTTCTGGTGTTGAGTGGGTCTATACTGTTCTGGTGTTGAGTGGGTCTATACCGTCTTCTGGTGTTGAGTGGGTCTATACCGTGTTCTGGTGTTGAGTGGGTCTATACCGTCTTCTGGTGTTGAGGGTCTATACTGTCTTGGTGTTGAGTGGGTCTATACCGTCTCTGGTGATGGAGGGTCTATACCGTCTTCTGGTGTTGAGGGTCTATACCGTCTTCTGGTGTTGAGTGGGTCTATACCGTCTTCTGGTGTTGAGTGGGTCTATACCGTCTTCTGGTGTTGAGTGGGTCTATACCGTCTTCTGGTGTTGAGGGTCTATACTGTCTTCTGGTGTTGAGGGTCTATACCGTCTTCTGGTGTTGAGTGGGTCTATACCGTCTTCTGGTGTTGAGGGTCTATACCGTCTTCTGGTGTTGAGTGGGTCTATACCGTCTTCTGGTGTTGAGTGGGTCTATACCGTCTTCTGGTGTTGAGTGGGTCTATACCGTCTTCTGGTGTTGAGTGGGTCTATACCGTCTTCTGGTGTTGAGTGGGTCTATGCCGTCTTCTGTGTGTATGTCTTGTACTGTTTGTGTGTATGGTGGTTGGTGTTTTGCCGCTCTTCTGAGGGCT